CCCACTGTGGTAAGCTGTATCAATCCCTTCTATGTATGGATCGAATTTCATTGAGCTGGGTTGCTTGCATGTGCGTCAAGATGCGAAAGTTACTTTCGTCTAAGCTTTGCACATCGGCGTATTTACGTATGCTATGACTCATCTACTTTATGTTCCGTCGTGATCTACAGTAACGCTATTTTTGCTTTCAGCGCTCCGCAAGTGTTGTTATAATTGGTGCGGGAATCAGTGGACTGGCGGCTGCCCGTCAACTACAAGCACTGGGAACGAAAGTGACCCTTTTGGAAGCCAAGGACCGACCTGGTGGCAGAATGCAGGTAACGTCTTCTCTGCTATGCCTTGCACTGAAGCCAGCAACACTTTCTTCAGGACGATCCTGAGTTTGGGAATTCCAGTAGGATGTGGCGCGCAATTGATTACCGGTATAATGAACAATCCTATTGTTGTCATGTGTCATCAGGTAACCTTTTAATTTTCGCGAATCGAGGCAACTTTGACAGCTGTTGTTTTTCGCTCACACTCATCTTTAGGCGAACATTCCTTATCGTCCTCTTCACCGTGAATGTGCTATGATGGATTCGGCTACAGGAAAAGTAATGAATCACAAAGTATGTCCTTTTGTACTTATTTTTCGCACAATGTAGCATCAGAGAACATTGAGCAGTGACGCAATTGAAGAAAGTTAATGCCGAGAAGAGAGAAGGAAAAGAAAATAAAGATGCACTGCTCTTGCTTTCACATATTGGGTTGGAACATAATATCGTAGCGTTTTTTTTTCGAGCATGTAAATCCAATTAGTACAAATATGACCCGGAAAAAACACGTATATTATTTGAAAGTATTTTTTCCGCTCTACAATTAATTCTTTGTCATTATCCTTTATATTATGATTTTTTGATCTACATATCGATCATTTGGAAAAGAGGTGCCAAACCGAAGTCATAGAATTCATCGTCTTTATCGTTTGAACCATATTTACTTCGTATAAATTGAGGAAAATGAGGCCTTGGAAAACGGGCTCCATACCTTTTTTTATTCATTATCCGGTGATTTCCCGCGAAATTAAATCAAAAATGTGAATTGCAATTTGTTAGAGAGAACATTTCTGATTAGTTTTGTATTTCTATGATTTCTTCGAAGTTTTGTGCGGAATGCAACCCAATGCGATCTGTAAATGTAAATATCACGTAGCATGAGGAGCAGTGTATCATCCCTATTCATCTAGCAACGGTAAAAAACCACCTGGCCCGCCGACGTCAAGATAAGCAAGGATAAAGCATTTGCCGTTGATCAATCCCTTTTTGGGATGCGGCACGCATTCTACTTCCATTTGTACATTCGTAGTGGCGTTTGAATGCGATGTGGCCTATACAATGACTTGCGGGGGCCAGCCGATGTACAAGTCAGTGTTTTTATCCTCCCAGACAAGTCTGGTACCAATTAACCGACCCCGGAGGGATGGAAGGCTTGGTTGGCCCGGGCGACTCACGACCCAGGATTTGATCCCCGGACCGCTCGCGTGGTAAGCGTGCCACTTGCCACTACACCACTTTAACGTAACGACGTTAAGATACTGCGCTGAAATTTGTGAAGAATATCGGACCTGACTTCTTCAAAGGTGGAACAAGGCGATTATTGATTTGCAACATTGATTGTACTATTGCATGGATTGTACTATTGCAGTTGAAAGCGAATTACTTTTACTTAGCATTCGAATTCTTTTGTATATTTGCATTGCGTGGATCGTTTTCAGTTTTGTTGCAGGCCGACCGAATTGCCGATGAACACTGGAATTGTATTCATGACATACTTGGACACTGGCGCGCTCACACCAAAGGGCCTGATCATAGCCTTATGGGTAAGTTGAGATATGAGGTGAAGTCGTCCGGATTAGGCTATACAGACACAGACAGACTCAATTCACTTTTACTCTTGAGGTGTTTCAAACCGCTTCATAGTTTGGCGTCGTTTTCATCGGTAATATTATCTGCACAACGGGTCTCTACTAAACGATTTTGTTTGGCAGTGGATTGTTTGAGATGTATTCGCTAATATGGATTAACACGTTGATGACATTGCACGTTTTGGCTTTTTGACCGCGTGGGACCTGCAAGATTTTGCAGAAGCCGTTATATCACGGCGCCGTGGATTTGGAGCTGTAATATTTGTATTTGTATGCTTTTACGTTCGATGTATTCAACCTATCGGGAATTATAACAGTGAAAGCCTGACCAAAATGGCACGCATGACTATGAGAAGGCAAAATTCACTAACTTTCGCTTTAATGGTTCATTACCTTGCATGCGGTTGTTTCAGTAGAAATGACTTGCCATTGGAGTGAACTAAACAGACATTTTCGTAAGGTCTGAAAAACTTCTACAAGACTGAAGAATATTAAGCCCTTTTGTAGGGCACGGCTTCTTGGTTATGCTGATGTTGCCCTATGAATTGTTCACAAAATTCGGGAAGAAATCGGGCATGTGCAAAAAAAATGTAACTGGTGTGGCATACATAGTTGCCACAATGTCCGATGTGGTGCGAAAATGGCGGCATACATAGTTGCCGCGCTGTCGTCAATATGTTGGTGTTTTACCGCAAAGGGGTAAACTAGTCGACGTCTATTCAGTTTCAATGCATTAAAGTTGGGTCTTCGTCGTAGAAGCGTTTTCCATTATAGATCACAAAAGTCCTTGAGTGCAAACCTAAGTTTGAATCTCTGAAGTTCTGAAATAATAGTAGTTATGATAAATAGGTGGTGTAGTATTCTTCACCCACCTCCCTTTTCCTCGTGGTTTGCTACATTCTTGTGCCTTCAAGAGAGGAGATGTTAAAGAACTGCTTTGACTAGGAAAGTGGTTACATGTTGCGCGCTGCAACCAGCCACTGCGAGTGTGTATTTTGAATTATGAACTCAACCTTCTCTGACATGTGCTGGGATGTTCTTTGGAGCATTTCTTCAGAAAAATAGCTGTCTGATCATGAACCGTTATCAGGTCAGCATTGATATTTATCTATAGTTTTTTACTCATCTATCTTAACCAGGTATTGAATCTAGCACGGAAATGGATTTGTATTGTTTTTATATTTTCGGTTTTCGTTTTCTGTTTTGTTTTCGTACGAATGCATTTGCAAGAACCATTGCCTACTCATTCGTGTGCAATGTGATCTCTGCACTTGGGCAGCCGTGTTGCCCACATCTTATCAGTTTGGAGGCCCATCTCTCAAGTCATCAATGCGAGTGGCCGCGGTGACAAGGTCGCCAGATATTGCGCTCCGTTTCGTTGTTATTCTTTTGTCTGTTCGTTTTTTCTCTTACCTTACCATCTCAAATCTCGATTTTTTTTAGTTTGACCATATTTTCTTCGTTTACTTGCTTTTTGTTCTGTGTCTTCTCTCTATCGCTCCTATTACGCTTCTGAAACATTTACGCGTCTAATTTCTCGTAATGTATTCTTCCAGAGATAAAATGGTAATGCCACGGCGCCCGGAGCAACGAAGGAAGAAAAGTGGAGGCAGTGCTTTTGGGTCACTAAATCTGAATAGAATTCTTGGAGGTCCAGGGGCTTCAACGCTTGATCTGGTCATGGTTGCCATTGCGTCAATAGTGTCAACCTTCCTCTTTATGCGTTTTTTTACCAGCCAGCCTGTGGCAATACAGCAGTCACAAATGGCACGTTTGCATTCAACAATTTATTAGACTCGCTGAAGTTATTATGAGGAATTATCATTTTTGAATATTTGACGTCTGTTTCCTTTTATAGGACCCCCATTTCAACCACAGTCAAATATACAAAACGAGGATTTTGAACGATGGAACAGTGGAGATCGATCTGCTAGCAGTAACTGATCTCGATCATGATAGCAAAGTATCCAACAAAAAATGGACTAGTTATGCGAAGCGTGGTGTTCTGAGAATTAGTCCTGATCATGACAAGGTTTCAGTTGAGTGGAAAGCCAACTCGGATTTCTCTCTCAGCACGTGAGCATTTGTATATATGTTTACCTAGTGTTATTATTACAGCAGATATCAAAGAAGTATTAGGAGTTCTCCTTCAGAGATTTCTATTAGGCTCTTGGGTTTAATGTTCTGAGTTTAGTGAAATATCTTCCGGTGATCGTGCCATGGAGCTGTCCGATCTTGCTGTTTTTGACGGCCGGCTGCTTGTTGGCGACGACAGAACTGGCTTAATTTATGAAATTCGAGACAATAAGGTTCACACTTTTTTCTTTTGGATTTCGGATTGTTTTTGTTTGGAGTTGGCATCAATTCGCTATTTGATGAACCCATTCAAGAAGACAGGCTCTCGGTTTAGGCGTTTCCCTGGATTTTCTTGAATGATGGACCGGGGAATGCTAGCAAAGGGCTAAAGCTCGAATGGCTCACCGTGAAAGATGAGCATCTTTATGCTGGTGGATTGGGAAAGGTATTTTTGTTCAGTTCAGGTTCATCTCAACGGTTCCCAATTGCTGTGAACTGCACTTATGGTTTTATAATTTTCAGGAATGGACCACTACCGAAGGGGAATATGTCAATGACAATCCAATGTGGATAAAAGTGGTATCTCGTAAAGGCGAAGTGAGTGCTCCTTTTTGCATCACCCAAATTCATAATAATTCACAGAATTCGTCCTGAGCTGACTTGTCCACTATCTCCTCACGAAAGTCCACCTCTACTTCGGGTGAAGCTAGCCATACCAATTTCATCGGAGGGTGCCTTCAAGAGTGACTCGATGTTCCTTTGCTCTCTCTAAATATTTAAGCATTTTGTTGACACACGCAGTTGCGCGCGAAACAGCTTCAGGAGACATGAAACGCGAATTTCCTCCTTCACTCACCTCTAACAGGTCCTTCCCGCAATCTGGACTTTCAAGGAGTCGAATAACGAGGTTTGGAAGCAAGCTTCACTCGTCGTATTAGCCTCCACCCACCATTGGTATTTGCCCTATTCCCCTTTGGCTGTCCTCCTTCGCTGAATCTTCGAATTCTTCTTTCTAGCTGGATCGGGTCCGAATTGTAAGGTTTCGTGGCAAGCTGCGCTATCAGCGTTTAAAGGCAGCGGATGCGATAGGTTGCTTGCCGTTATAAGAGAATGTTGGAGTTGGTAAATGGTGCACTGGTAAAGAGAAATGAAAGGAAGCTCACAACATGCGGAATGGAACCCACATTCTGCAAAGTGTTGAAGCCTTGGAGAGTCAGCTACCAGGACAGAGATGTGTTAATGCGTACATAACAAGTTGAGCTTTCGTCCAGGTACCTGCGCGCAACGCCAGAGCGCAATGCGTTACGCCCCCCCCCCCCTCCCTTCCCGCTAACAATATGTCTCGCTCTCTTGGAGGCCTAACTTTCTTCCACAGCGAGCACAGTATAAATGGATGCTTCTCCAACATCCAATTTATGTGGCGCCTGTTTTTGAGGTACCCCACCCTCCCACCGTGGATTGGTCTCCCTAGATTGATCTGACAACCTGGTTCACATATTCACATATTTTCTCCCTTTCGTCCGGTTGGCTCATCTATACTCCTGGCCCATGTTCCCTGGGCTAATCTTTGGGTGACATCAAATTTTTCGATAGTCAAACAAAGTCGAATATGTGTGTACGGATGGATGTTCTTTTTGGCGTGTTTGATCGCTGGAATGTGCTTTAATTTTTGCCTCGGGTTTTTCAAAGTAAGTTCCTAAGTATTTCGTCTGCCTACAGTTAGCGGAATGTAACGAAATTCTCAGCTTCCTTTCTTGTTCAATTCTATCAGCGATCAGTTTTGTACAGATCCAGCACGTAAACTGGCGCGACGTTTTCATCAAAGTCCGGCGTGCTGCAGGAATAGAGTATCCTGGATACATGATTCATGAAGCTGTGCAGTGGTCCGATACTCACAAAAAGTGGTTCTTCCTCCCACGGAGAGCTTCTCATGAAAAATACACTGAAGCAGAAGATGAAACCAGGTGTGATTAGTAATTTAATTTCTCCACATTATAAGGATTGTAATGCTGCTTGGTTTCAGAGGCACCAATCTGCTCATTATCGGCGATTCTTCACTATCTTCGTTCAGTGTTGTTCACGTAGGTGAACTCACCCATCCAGCTCGTGGCTTTTCGGCATTTCAGTTCATTCCTGGCACAAGCGATAATCTCATCATCGCTTTGAAGTCAGAAGAGAAGGATGGCAAGCCAGTTGCCAGTTACGTGACTGTATTCAATATTAACGGAGAAGTAATCTTATCAGATACCTCTTTGCACGATCCTCACAAGTTTGAAGGCATTGCCTTTGTTTGATTACAGGTTAATTTAATTGTGTTCGTTTCACTTTTGAATGTTGCTCATAGATTGCCCAAATTTTGAAGTACCCTGATACTATTCTGTGATCTGTGTTTTAGTTTTATTTGGTTGTGATAAAAAAACAGGTGTCAATAAAGGTTTAGTAATTGTGTTTTTTGTTACATCTTGATACAAAACACCAACTTGTTCCATAGTTTCTGCCCAGTTTGTGCTTCAGTGCATCTAAATGTGAATTTCAGATCAAATCAACATTGCGCACAAGAAGCTCGTGAAAGGAACTCGTCTGAAGTGGGGAGATGCGTTCGAGCGTGCATTTCAGTTCAATCTAGGAAATGCTGAATTCAGTTGCGGAGCGAAATTAAATGATGTAAGATTTCTAACATGCCATCATCTGTTGGCTGTGATGAGATAATTTCCACATGATTTGACAATGGTACTGGGCATGTTCTGATTAATCTTACTTCTATTTTAGGTATCTTGGAGGAACTGGGATCAAAACGAGGCTGTAAATCAATTTGCAGGGGCTCATGCGCTCCTTAGCGATGGTTGCGTGGAACTGATCCAACGTCTTGCAGAAGGTCTAGACATCCGTTACGATCATGAGGTTCGTTGTAAATGGTTTATGGTATTCAGCATACACAATACATATTTCTGTGAATTGGCTTAACTCCTTTTTGCGCTAATCCAGTCTTTTGTTAAGGTCACGTTAGTTGAATGGCTTCGTGCGAAAAAGTCTGTATCGGTGAGCTGCCGCAATGGCAGGAGATTCAATGCTGATAAGGTAAGGCAACTGGTTTTATGTCTGGTTTTCTTAGCAAAAGTGCTCTTCTATTCTCAGGAATCACTCTCTGGTTCAAATTCCATTCGAGCTGATTTCCCTTGAAAATATCGTATTTTTCTTAATGGAACTAGAGTTTGTAGGATTATGTGTTAAAATTTTCCCTTTAATGAATTATCGCTCATTTTTTTTACTTGTAAGCTTTTTTTTCGGCTTCCGTGATTTTCTTCACTGCGGTTGATTTTATGCTACGACTTGAGTAAATTTGTCGTGGGAATCAGCGTTAGAGTACGACCCATCCTAATGTTGTGGTTACGTCCTGTCAAAGAAGATCGCATAATGAGGAATTATGAGCTAATCGAATTGGGAAACGAAGCAGCTTCTCGTGTTCTGTAGCTTGATTTCTTGTAGTTCTATCCACTGACAGATAGTTATGACGTGCTTCTTCTTAAGTCTTTTAAAATCTTATATTTTGACTTTACTATGCGGTCGATCTTAAATTCCTAGGTTTATTTCAGGTGTTGCTGGCGTTGCCTCTAGCAGTTCTTCAGAAACACAGAGTCAGATTCAACCCAAAGCTTCCGGATAAGAAAACAAGGGCCATGAAGTACATTGGGGCAGGTCTCATAGAAAAAGTGATTTTTTTATGACGAGGTTCTTAGGTGTCTAGATCGTAATCGAAATCGTAAGAATCATGTTCGCAGGTAGCTGTGCGCTTTCCACGTTGTTTTTGGAACTCGCTTCTCAAGAAGGATGGCACGCTAGACTACTTCAGTCATGCTCCACGAAAGAGTTGCGATCGTGGTCTCTTCAATATGTTTTACGATTTCTCTCGCAGGGTTTGTTGTTTTTTTTTCAATAGAAGTTTGCCCATCCACTAGATCCTTCCTTTAGGATGCAAATGGTGTGGCACCGTTCTACGTCCTAATGTCATATGTTTGCGGTGATTCCGTCGACATTGTGAACAAGTACAGTGATGAGGAAGTTGCCCAAATATTCGTCGACACTCTGAAACAGTTGTTTCCTAATGAGGTAGGATATCGTTGTTGGTGAAGAATACACTCTGTACATCTTAATAAATTTAGGATATACCAGAACCGGATGGAGCTGTGGTTACCCATTGGGGCAGAGATCCACATATTGGTATGTCCTATAGTTATGTTCGGATAGGTGGGACAGGAGCCCACTACGATGACTTGGCGGCTCCGATCGACGGAAAGTTATACTTCGCCGGCGAGGTATGTATCAAAATCTTCTAATCGCTGCGCATTTCTTCCCATTATCCCTTCACCAACAGAAAAGGCGAGCAAAATTGGTAGCAATGTGTATGGAACATCCTGTGTACAAAAAACTTTTATTTATTCGATATAATTGCATCATTTGCAGTGCACAAATCGTTTCTTTCCACAAACGATGACCGGCGCCTACATCAGCGGACTTCGTGAGGCTGGTCGTATATGGGAGTCATCCCACAACGAAATATGGATTGATTAGGTCGAAGTTTAGCCCTTCTAAGGTGCATGAAGCTGTTTGTGAGTCTAGGAGCTTAATGCATTTGAAGGCAGTGCTCACAATGGAACAGTCTCCTCTGTTTTTGACCACCTCCTTGAAGTTGCTAATATCGAAGTTGGAGGGCTCAAAGATTGCAATTTTGGAAACTAAAGTTTCAGTATTTGAATGGCCTGGACATCTTTTCATTTGAGAGTCCAATTTGGTGAAGTCACCCTGGTTGTTTTTCATGAACTACTCCAGGGCAACTAATCTCACAGTATTTGATTGCTTACACTACGGTGATAATAGACCTAAGAGCGATCTCGGAGCAGGTTCAACCAACTTCTGATCTTGATCAAGGCAACTTGCAAACAAAAGCTGGGTAAAAAGTTCCAATGTTAGCGCTGTGCTTGACTGTTTGGATGTATTGTGTTATTCTATTTATTCCATGGAATGTTTGTGAGTTTGGGATTCGTTTTTCACTGTGCATTTCTGAAGTGATTCTGAGTCAAGGCCAACTGCAACAGCTAGCCTCCTGTTTACTGCCGTTGTTCGAATTGTGCGTGATTCTAGTAATTAGTGTTTTGCGTTTGATCCCGCGATTTCACGTACACTACTCGTACATCTTGAGAGTATGCACTATGAGTGCGCGGTGTTGCATTGGACGTGAAATCGCGGACAGCCAATTTGGCCATGTACCAGCCCACAGCCCATATCTCTCACTGTCTTTCGCTGGTAATCAGTAAGGTATGCTGTCATTTCCAGTACCACGTCTACTCAGACGGCGAGATACAGACTGTACGTTTGTGCGTGGCCACGAAACCTATTGTTACTATGCCTTCCTTCCCTTGTACTGTTAATCCTCTAGGTGATAGTGTGGGTGGGGGTCACAGGTTGAGTTTTTTCGAAGGTTACTTATCGGTACACTCAGGCTCCGAAACTTTTTTCGCTTTTTAAGACGCGGCTGCGGCATGTAGTGCTCCCGCACGATTCGCGCGCTCCTTGAACGTGGCGTTGACGAAGGACTTAATTAAGGAATTCTCTCGCAAAAGCGGTATAGTGCTGTCTCGACTGCGCTCGCCACAGCCGCGCTATAAAGTGTGAAAAAGGTTGAGGAGGCGTACGATCGTGTTAAGAAGGGGGTGGAATAGTGTATGGCTTTTGAAGCCGGACTTGGACTTGTGGTCGCGTCTTGCCTATAATTCCTGCTGTTAGTTTTGCTGCTAGAGCAGTTTCTTGGGTTTCGTTTCAGTGAGGTTCAACGTATTTCATTAATTATTTTTCAATTAGCATTGTTCACAGAACGTCTGCTTGATCTCACATCTGCCTCGTGTTTCTAGTACTTATTGGAAATAAATGAATTTTGGAAACAATCCGGTTGGATTAGCCGTGAGTTCCACGAATTCCCGGAAACAGTAGTTACATGGTTACAAAAACATTGGTATGAACCGGATGAGGAAACTATTTTGATGTATACTCGATATCGGTGAGTTGGGGTGGGCGTGTCACCGGAAGTGACGTGCACTTGATAGAAACTATGTGGATAAGCTGCTTCCAACATACATCGCTGGCTATCAGCAAAGCATGCTGGCAACAGCTTATCCACGCACTTCTATCAAGTGCACGTCACTTCCGGTGACACACCCACCCCAACTTTCGGATATCGACTGTACCTGTCAAAGTGCAGACCCCATACTTTAAGGCAAAGTCCGGGATCAAACTGATGTATTACTGAGCTTGCAAAGTGGAGATGTAAAATGTAACGCCAGCAATGGAAAAGCGACAAGAAACCGTGGACAAGGTCGAAAACGAGATCCTCTCTCCAGTAGCAGCAAAGCGAAATAGCACTGATTTGTGGGCGGGCTCAATGGTGTTGGGCGGAGCCAATGCTGCATCCTAGGGCCTTAGTCCCGGCCTTGTCAAATCATCCTGAAAGTTGTGTACATGTTTTCCGCTTGCTCGCCACTTCACTTTTCATGGAGAAAAGCTTAATTTTGACAAGAAACCCTTGCCTCTAATACTATACAGCGAAGCATACCTGTATGAATATGCGTTAAATAAGGACATCTTTTCGACTGTAAGTAGACTTCAGTTCGGTACCATTGCTACCTTAATAACAAAAACCATTCG